TCCATCCATCTATCCTCCATCCGTCCATCCATTCATTCATCCATCCATCCATCCATTCATTCACTCATTCATTTTTTCTTTCACATCATCCCGCTGTATATATTCTTCCATTTCATCTTCACGTATAATTAAAATTATCGTATTGAAATGATGACGACGACGACGACGATGATTCTTTTATCCTCCTCATCATCATCCTCTTCGTCGTCATCATGTGATGATCTCAAACAGGCGGTTGTTGCAGCGGTAAGATTTTAATTTTTTGAAACAAAAACCAGACCGATTCTGTGTTATATATCTGCCAGAAGAGAGAGAGAGATAGAGAGAGAGAGAAAGAGAGAGAGAAAGAGAGAGAAAGAGATACAAAAAAAGAGGGCGATTGAGTGAATGAAAGAATGAATGAATGTTTGATTGAATGAATGCATAAATAGATTGTTGAAACAATCAATCAGTTTTGAAGAATAAACAAATGAAAGATTTAATTAATGTTTAGAATAAAAAGAGAGTCAGAGAGTGAGGATTGATTGAATGAATGAATGAACTAATGAAGAAATGAATGAATAAATGAAAGAATGAAGGAATGAATGAACGAACAAAGGAACGACGACAACACCGGCAACACTATCATCTTCAAGAAGGTCACGATTGATAACGAACGGGTCAAGAAAAGTTCAAAAGGTTAAATTTCACTTGCTCAATAACTGCAATGATGATGATAACAACAATAACAACAACAACAATAATAATAACAACAATAATAATAATAATAACAATAATAATAATAATAAGTTCAAAGAATCGCAGACAGGTCCACCATTATCGCAATGGAAGCGATGATTGCGGCGATCATGGTGACGATGATGATGGTGATGACGATGATGATGATGACGATAGGGATGATGAAGATGATGATGATGATGATGATCAAGACTAATAATAATAATAAAAATACTTTTAATTATAATAATAGTAATAATTCGTGTAGAAGATAATTCTAGAAAGCAATAACAGCCATAATAATAATAAGAAGAAGAAATAGATGATCATCAACAACAACAACAACAATAACAACAATATTTTACCATAAACCAGAGAACAATAAATCGAAATATTTCTGATAACGATTGATGAGCACCAGAAATGATGGAGTGAAGATAGGAAGGAGTGAAAGATAAAGGAATAAACTGAAGAATGAAATAATAAGTGAATGAAAGAACGTATGAACAGACAGCAAACAAACAAACGAACGAACGAACGAATAACTGTTTGGTATCATGGTACTATGCTATATGTGAATATATAAGAAGAATGAATGAATGAATGAATGAATGAATGAATGAATGAATGAATGAATGAATGAATGAATGAATGAATGAATGATCGAAAGAGTGATTAATTGAAAATGAAAGAAAGTCAAAGACAGTGAATACCTTCAAGATAACATGCCCCAATCAAAACAAAAGATTATAAATATGCTCATGATAAAGAATATAAAAGATACATTTTATTATTTATTTAAAGGCGAACACTGTATATCAAAAAAATCATATTAACTGTTATCACAAG